GGAAACACCCAGTCGGGTGGGGTGCTAGTGTGCGCTTTCAGGCGCGAGCTACGGTTCCTTCCTCCTCAGGGGGCCCCAGTCTGATGGGGCAGACTCCCGAACCTCAGGGAGCATCTGGTCTACCGCTTACCCAAAGCTCCGTTCTTCTCTCCCATGGAGCCTTCATTCCCTGCCCCAAGTAGGACTCGAACCAGTTGGGCTGGAAGAACCTGATGGGTCTCCAGGCCCTTGTTGAAAGGGAGCTGGTGACATCCAAATGACAGGGATGGGGGCGTGTGGAGCACTCAAACTTTGGGCTCCTACACACCAGGGTCCAAGCCTGCCGCAGCCACCAGTGAGCCTGGGGACTCGGGCACACACGCCAAGCTCAGTTCCCCCAGCCCAGGGGACCGCAGTGCTGTCTGCCCCCGAGCGTGGCCGCAAGGGTTAGAGGGGGGTGTGGGCTCGCTCCCAGCACCGGGAGCTGAGGCGGGGGATCCACAGCTCACCCCGCCACCCCTTCTCCTGTCTGACTTGGCAGCTTGGAGGTGCCAGGTGACAGCCAGGTGTGGAGCCCTAACCGCCCCAGCTGAAAAGGTGTTGAACGGATCCTGCCTGTGGTGGGGGGTGGGACTGTCTTTCACTGTGGATTGACTCAGTTCAGCGGACAAGTACTGACCCAGTCCCCCAGCCCTGTGACAGCCCTGGGGACACAGTCACCCAGCAGTAGCACTGTGCCCCGCACATGTAAGTGCTCAGCAGCAATGGCTGTTATGATTAAGCATCTCCCCCCCAGACAGTATGGGCAGAGACTGTGTCCTGTTCACCATTGTAGCGCCAGTACTCAGTAGGTGCTCAATCAGTGTTTGGGGAATGAATAACTGAAAGACAGCCTGAGACTCAAGGAGCACTCAGGCTGGTGGATGTAACCAACAATCAGAGCTACTCAAGTGTACACTTTAAATGGGTAGACTGAATGGTATGTGAATTATGTCTCAATAAAGTCACTTGAAAAAATATCAAATTAGCTATTGTGTATTAAAATTTGGATGGGAAGTTGTGGGTAAGAATATAATTATATTCTGCAGCATTTCTGTCATATACTCTGATCCAAAGTCATTTGAACATCAGCTATGCAGGGGGACTGTGGGATTAGGTGCTAGGGAGAAGGGGTTTCATTCACTAGACAGGTCAAAGAGATAAATCTAAATACATAGGATGTGGCCTGTTCATTCTGCAGAGCACTTACTCAGCACTTATTCCAAATTGGAGAGGTATCAGAAACTTTATTATGAGTTTATATAAAATGATGTTTATATTCTGACTTCGTCTTTTTAAAAAGATAATTGAATAATCATAGGAGTGATACAAGTAGTAACAAAACTATAAAACAAACAAAAATAACACTAACTAGGTTGTTCCAAAGAACTATTTAATAGATCATCTCCTTCCTCAAGAGCTGCAAAGTGGATGGCAAAATATGTAACAAAGCTCTCATTCAAAATATTTGTAGCCAAGAGGATATGTTTTGATCGAAGTAACAACGTGACAACGTGTGACTAAGTAATGTGGTTTTCCTAGGGAAGGTCTTACAAATTTTAGTTATAATGAGAAAAAAAATATAAAGGGAGATATTTTATCTTATATTTGGCATATATAATATTCCACTTATAGTATTTAGATTATTGTTTGCAATAAGGCATACTTTCTTATTAAATTTTAAAGGACTGCTGTAGAGGCTTAAAAAATAAACAATATCCCATAAGCTCAAAAAAGCAAATAACCAAAAAAATAACAATCACAGAATAGGAGGAAAAACAGCAGCTTCTCTTGGAATTCAGAGTGTCACGGGGAACCTGCTGGGCATGGAGCCAGGAGCTGGCCAGGTGCAGAGGCGACTCTGGGCTGTGGGTGGAGCAGGTGAGGCCCAGGTCGCCCTGCCTGCTGCCCTGTTAAGTCAGAGGCCTGGTTCCTGCCTGTCTGGCCGTGAGGGTTTCACGCCAGCGCCCTGGCCCCGCTGCTGGCCTGGGGTAGGTGCTCAGCATGGGCACACTCTTCCAATCTCTTTAGGGTTTACTGGTTACCAGGTGGGTTCCCAGGTTAGCGACTCACTAAGCCAGAAACACAGGCAGCGATTGGCAGGCTGTGAGTGGCTCTCAGAAGGCAAGGAGAAGGGGAGCCTTCTGGTGTCTGGAAGGACAGAGGCCAAGGCTGCTCCTGGGTTGGCGGGAACAGAACAGCCCGACTTTGTAAGCATCAGTCTCTCGGTAGAGAACACTTTCATTGGCTGAGCACAGGTCTCACACTGGGGAGTGGGGAAGCCATGAGGCCACTGCACCGAGGCTGCCTGGAGGTGGGGTGGTATCAGAAAGAGAAGAGTTGCCCTGCCTGGCAAAACCACAATGCCTGCTCTACCCCAGCAGCAGCGGAGGGTGCCACCCTCGCAGAGGTGACTAGCCCAGGGCCTGCTACAAAGCAGCTGCCCAGGAAGTAACCTGAACGAATGAGAAAACTGTGGAGACAAGGAGTCTTGGAATCTGGGGACCCAGGAGAACCTCAGCAAGGGCTCCAGGGGCAGATCTGTCAAGGCCACAGCAAGTGGGGAGTGAAAAGGCCTCGGAGAGACAGGGCACCTGAGCGTCAGCCCTGGAGACATGCTGTCACCAGTCCCAGGAGCTCTGGGCAGGTTTGTGCAGAGCTGAGACCAAAGGCTGGCACCTGGTCTGGACCCTCACCAAGGCTGCCTCCCGATGTGTTAACTGGCACCAAGGGGCACCTCCAGGAAGCATCTGGTGAAGCTGTGGAGTGGGGGGACATGGTCTGTTGCTGCCAAACCCCAGGAGTCTGTCACCTGCAGTCCATGGACCAGCAGGCTACTCAACCCCTCCACCCCCCAGAGCTCCCACGAGCCTCTTCCTCGGCCTCCTTTCCTTGGCAGAGGTGCTTGCAGGGTCCTGCCAGCCCCCAGGCCTCTTCCACCGAGGCAGCCAAGGAGGGAGCAAGGAAAGGCGTGGCTAGGAGGGGACAGAGGGCCCCAAGGTGGCCCTGAGTCAGGCTACAAGCACCCTCTCTAGCCACTTGCCTCCCTGCTGCCTGCATCTAAGAAACCCATCAGGGCCCACTGTCTGTCCCCAGTCTCACCAGCTCCACATAGCCTTAAAAAACTAGCGGTGAGGGCTCCCATGGAAGATTCTAGAAAACAGAGCAAGATCAGTCCTGGCATACACCACAGTCACCTCTGGGTTTCTAGCATTACTTGTGGTTATGTGATTGTGCACCCTACAGAAGGAAATCTTGAGAACCTGGTGGGGTTCCTGATGGAAAAACCCATGAGACTGCAGTTGAGGTGTCATCCTCACAGCAGTCATACACGGCCTTCAGCAGGTCATCAAAATTACGTTTAAGTGGGTCCACTAGTTCCCAGCTCCAGCAGCTTTTGCTCCTGGTTAGTAGACAGACCTCTCCTGGTTCCGAATGTCTGTCTCACTGGATTTCAGGGAAGCTGTTTTCCCTGCAGCCTGTTCTCTACTGTGTCCAGTGAAAGTCATTTATTTTTATTTATTTTTTGAGACAGAGTCTCACTTTGTTGCCCAGGCTAGAGTGAGTGCCGTGGTGTCAGCCTAGCTCACAGCAACCTCAAACTCCTGGGCTCAAGCAATCCTTCTGCCTCAGCCTCCTGAGTAGCTGGGACTACAGGCATGCGCCACCATGCCCGGCTAATTTTTTCTATATATATTAGTTGGCCAATTAATTTCTTCTATTTATAGTAGAGACGGGGTCTCGCTCTTGCTCAGGCTGGTTTCGAACTCCTGACCTCGAACAATCCACCCACCTCGGCCTCACAGAGTGCTAGGATTACAGGCGTGAGCCACTGCATCTGGCCAAGTCATTTATTTTCAACTTGTCCAGTTTTTCTTGTAAGGATGAAGTGACAACTGACACTTCTCTGAACCTTCCCCTAGACCCCTCTGTGCATTTCCTTGTAAAATCCAGTCTTAGTTACCCCTTGCCTGATCACTCTCAGGATCTAATCCGGTCCCTCCTCCGCCTCCTCCAGATGGTGTCCGGGCCCCCTGGCCTGTCTTCAATGAGTCCTGTTTGGTCAGTGTAGCCAGAGTCCCCCTCACCCCTGATGTTTCCTCTCAGTCGTTTTCCATCCACTGACCCCACCCTGCATGTTGGCTGCAAATCCCTACCTGCGGTGCCTCTGCGCCCACGGCAAGCCCTGCTGCAGTGGCCCCTGCACGGTCTGGAATAGTCTTCCTTACCTCGAACAAAACAGCAAATGTTTCCAGCGCCTTCCGCGTGCCAGGCCGTCTCACACAGCCCCATCCGACACGGAGGACAGGTGCTGTCCCCACAGCCGGCGGCGCCCGAGCGCAGGCCCACGCTCCTCCCAGCGTCCTGTGTTCTCCCCCGTATTAGGAGGGACCGAGAGGGCAGGGGTCCCCTGTTCTGTCTCCCCTGGTACCTGCACTCCACAAGGTTGTGTCGCAGCAGACCCCGGGTAGGGGACAAGCCGGATGGGCTCGCCGGGGTGTGTGCCCGACTGACCTGCTGTGAGGCTCCCACGCCCTGGGCAGCAGGTGACGGGACAGATGGGAGACGTCAGCAGGGACTCTGGGCAGTGTGGAGGGGAGACAGCAGGGACGCTGCCGCTGGGAGGCCTTGCATGAATGAGTTAACTCTCAGCCTCAGTTTCCTCGCATCTGCAAGGGGTGTTGGGGAGACAGCATGAGAGGTGTGTGGGTGTATCCACACACAGTAGGTGCTTCCTGGGAAGACAAAGGGAGCCGAGGACAGAGAGCACAGGGACCTTCGCTGTCATCACACGGCCGCTGTGACCTAGAATGGCTCCTGCTCTTCAGAGCGGTGGGCCGGGGTCTGGACACTCCCTCTGCCCACGTGCGTGGGGCCAGTGAGGGGCCAGCAGCCCTGCCGCGAATGTGCACCCCCCACCCTGGGTCAGCCCGGGGGCCCAGCCGCGACGCAGGCGAGAAAGAAGACCACAGGGCCAGCGCTAACTGCGTCCCAGTTTCTTTTTATTGATTTTTTTGGTTCTTTTTTTTCCTTTTTTTTTTAAGTATGGAGGCTCAAGTAAAAGATGTAGATTTTTTTCTTTTAAGCTTTACAAAAAAACAAAATAAAACAAAAACTCCTTTTGCATTCCATAAAAATTGACAGAAAAGCACCTGGCCAGAAGAGCAGAACGGTCGGCAGCCCCCCACCCCGGCCCCACGCCACGGTCTCGCAGGACAGGGCAAGTCTGCGCAGGACAACGCTGAGGGCCACCCCTCTCCCAGAGCTGTCCCCTGTCCCCCCACCCCAACCCCAAGCAACTCCCAAACACACATGGAATCAGATTTCCAGTTTTTCTTCTTTCACACACCACAGTTATTTCATAAAATTTTTTTGTTTTACATTTTTTACACCAATGTAACAAAAAGGTGGGAGGGGAGGGGAGGCTGACAGTGTTTTTATGCCTATAAATGGCGGGGGTGAGGGGTGGGGGGCCCGGGCGAACAAAACCACACAGTCTCTATGGAAATACCGAGAGTTTCGATAGCAAAACGTGGCGGGAAGCAGGCCGCAGAGCCGGACAGGGCGTGTATCGGGCTTTATTCTCGGGAGAGATGGCGCTGCGCGGTGGATGATGCGAGTTGTTGCGTGAGTGACCTGTCGGGGAGGGAAGGGACAGGGAGAGGGAGCAGAAAACGAGTTTCTAAGAAAGGAACCTAACGCGCGCAGGGCGTGGCCGGAGGGCGCGAAGCAGAGGTCTAGCACTGCTGCTTTCTCTTCAAAGCCTCCACCAGGTCGTTCTTCAGGGCTTCTTGCTTCGATTTGTCCGCAAAAGTCTGCACAGACCTGCAAGGCGGAGAGTGCGTCAGCGAGGGAGCAGGCCCTGCGAGGCGGCGACAGGCCGGGGCTGCCATGCGGTGCCGGGCTCTGTCTGCTGCAGGGACCCACCTCCCCCAGGGAGGCTCGGGTCCCCAGGCTGGGCAACTGCCAGCGCCTCAGAGAGGCGTGGGGGGAGCACAGGGCCCTGCGACCCGCACCCTCTGCACCTCCCTGGGCACCTTGGGGGACGCACACAGCCCACTCCGACAGACGCTGTCTCTGCCCAGGCCTCAGGTGACCTGGCCATAGTCACGGGACCCTAAGTCCACTCTTCCGTATGATTCTCCTTTGCCCCCCACCCCTCCGCAGCGGAGGGTGCAGTGGAATGCCCCAGAGAAGGGGTAAGAACCGGCCTCTCTGCACAGCCACGCACGCTGGGTTCGAGGCCAGGGCAGGAAGGCCAGGTGCTTTCAGGTTTCTGTGAGCCACTGTCAACTGTTAACTTGGCCCACAAAATCACTCAGCCTAGTGGCCGTCAAATCCTTGATTTGTGTGCAGAATGATCAAGGTGACTGCATTTACCTGTGTGGTGGCACTCTTCGACAAAGCTAGAAACTACTACGGTTTGTGGAGAGCTTGCAAAGTCCTTGTCATATGTATTATTTCTCACTAGCATCTTGGGGGGGGGGGTCGTTCCTATTAACCCAATTTATAGATAAGGAAACTGCAGCTCAGAGACACACCCTTGGCAATCTCCTGAATGCTCGTTTTGTCACATTTATCCAGCATATTGGTTAACCAAGAACTTAGTAAACTATAACCTTGTTAACGGTCTAGAAGCAGCGGCAAACAGGGTGAAAGGCTGCCTGAGAGGCATGCTGTGGATGGGCCAGAGAGTAACCCCCATGCAAAAATGGGCGAAGTGAAATGCAGCAGGCCCGGGAGAAGCAAGAGCATCCCAACTTGGACTCTGGCTACTGAATCCTAGGAAAATCCTGGGACGCGTCCCGGACACGCTAAGAGGGTAGCACAGACAAGATCTGAAGCCATCTGGAAACAACTAGAAAAATTCCCCTGACGTCTGGGTGCTGCTGGGGAAATACACGTTTCTGAGTGTTTGCCCTGCACGGCCCCTGGCTCTGCGGCGGCCAAAGGCAGAGTCAGGACATCAGCCCCGGTGGTCCTTGAGCTCCAACTCTCAGCCAGCCCCACCAGACTCCTAGCACAGCTCACGATGGTGGCTAGGGCTGCCCGCGGGAGACACAGCGGGCAAAGCAGCAGCCACAGGCTCCCCGCCCCGGGCAGGTGCCAGCTCTTGTGGGAAGGAGCCCAGTGCTCTAGGTCTGGGCTGTGACCAGCCAAACCCACCCTAAAAGTTCCAGAACCAGGATCAGGTTAGAGATAGGGAGGTTAGAAGTGGAGTGGCTGAATGCGTAAGGAGCAAGGGGTTCATTTAAGGGACACAGCTTGGGAAGATCACTGACAAGCAAGGCAACAGAGTGCCGGGAGGCAGCACTTGACTCGGTGTGGGAGGGAGGACCGGCCCTGGGCACACACAGGCGCTCGCTGTCTACCGGTTTCCATGCCAGGACGCCCCCAGTGGGCCAGGGAACTGCACCATCACGGTGCACCTTAAAAAGGGGGTTTTCTCAATGCCATAAAGGGAACATCTGATGGCCCCACAAGGCTGCAGGCCGATGGACATGTTGGGTCTGTGTGTGGCTGGACTGGCACACTGAAGTTCCCAGTCCCCAGAAAAACAGCTCCGTCTGGTTACATAAGTGCCCCACCCCAACCCTGCCCCGGAAAGCCCACTGCACTTCTTCTGGGTGGGCTTTCCATGTCCAGCCCCTAACCCTGAGCTCTGCAGCCCCACCCGGCTGGGTTTCCACGGGCCTTATTTTCACCAACAGCTTCCCTCCGCTCTCCAGGGATGCTGACTGCTTTCCCACATCTGTATCTGTCGCAGGCTCGAGCCATGGTCCTTGGCCATTCTCAACAAGCAAGACTATTTCCTTTCCACCAGCGTGACTCCTTTAAAGAGCAGCTGCAGCTCGTTGGGGCGGAGGCCGTGCTGGGCCAGGCAGCGTGGGCACTGGGCGCCGGCAGCCACTGGTCTGGGGGTGCACCGGCTGGCCTGGGACACCCCAGCCCCCTCTGTGCACCATCGTCAGAGACAGAGTGCGAGAGCACCTCTTCCAAGTCAGCCAGCCCAGCCCCTGAGAAGGGGTCTGATTTGGCTCCTGGGGTCCCTGGTAGAAGACGGGGGTGACCCGGCGTGCAAAAGTGCTGCTGCTGGTTGGGCGACGTCAGCCCTGGGCCCGGGCTCTTCGGGAGCAAAAGCCAAACCCAGCCGCCATCCCCACACCTTGCCTTGGCCCAGGGTGCAAAGCACACGCCACACACGTGATAGGCGTCCGTGTTACGTGGGGCTGAGGCTGCGTGTTAACGTGGCCGCTCGTCAGCGGTGGGTGGACACGGGGTTAGTGGTGGTTTAAATGGCCACGCGGCAACAGCCGGCCCGGCGGGGTCTCGGCGGGTTGGTGAGTCCTGTTTAGTGGGGGGGGTCTCGTGCCTCTCAGGCGGGGTACCTGGATCGGCTTAATTATCAGGCTGGATGTAGATCTGGCGCTGGGTCAGCACTTGAGAGAGCTCCCTCTGCAACTGCTTAAACTTTTGGTTGTCAGGGATAGCGTCAATAGATCTAGAGAGTGTTCAGAGAGGAGTGAAGTGGGAAGGCAGAGAACAAGAATACGGGACACGAGGGGGGCGACAGCTGAGAAGGAGACCGAGGCTGGAGGGGGCCGCTGAGTGGCGTCTCCGTCGCAGAGGTACACGTGGTGGTGCTGGCTCTCAGGGGGTCACCCCCAGCCCCCCACACGCCCTTCCAATTCCCTCCCCGTTTGCCAGCAGGCTGGGGGTGGCACAGTGTGTTTGGTGTGGATGGTGCAGTGGCCGCGGGTGGCAGCCCTGACCCCCGGGACCACTGGGTTCTTACCCGGCCATGGGCCAGGAAGAGAAAATGAAACCCACCAGGGCCAGACCCAGTCCCAGTCCCCAGGTGGGGCAGGAAACAGGAAGGAGAGGTCCAAAGAGGACGCCTCCCTGTTTTAAAGCGCTAGAGTAGGCGGTGCATGTTACGCTCCTGGGCAAACCCGCCATCGGGCCAGCCCAGAGCTGCTCCTGCCGCTCCTCTCGCCCCAAGTGTGAGGTCACACTGGAACAGGGCCAGGAGGGCTGGCAGTGAGGGGCACAGCACGCCTGCTGGCCTCACGCGGTGGCGCTGGGCTACAGAACACGTTACAGACTGCAACCCTGCCTCACATACTGGCCCAGGCCTCCGAGTGTCAATGGGCACACAGCTTAGGTGACAGAGCTTGAGGGAGGTCCCGGCCTCCTGACTCCAAGGCCAGTGCTCGCTCACAGCTGCTCTCCTGCCCCAGCTGGGCTCCAGCCTCCTGCTCTGTCCACCGCGGACCTGGAGGACTCAGAGCACCCCTCTTAGCTGTTCCTTGGGTCAGGACCCTGGCCACTGCCAGCAGGGCCCTGGTAGGGACGTCAGAGCGGGAAGGGCTGTCTCTGCACGTCAGAGAACCCAGGCCTGCCAGGGGCCACCAGGCTGCCCTGACTGCAGTCCTCGCATCTCCAGGCCCAGGGCCATAGGGGCGGGGCAGATTTTTTAGCGGGGATGACAGGCTGCAGGACTGGGAGGAGGCAGACCCCAGAGACGCGGGCACCAATGGCTGTTCAGGTGAACGTGCCCCAGGACACAATGGCGGCGGCAGGAACAGGTAGCTCTGAGAGTGCAAACTGCGTAAGAGGCACTTTACCTTTCAAAGTCTGCACAACAATCCTAGGGGTAGGTACTCGAGCCCTCTTTTACAAATGGAGAAACTGAGGCCCAAGGCCCATGGCTATTAAGTAGCAGGGTCAGCATTTAAACCCTTATCTTTCTGGCTCCAGAGCTTGTGCTTTTGCTACATTACCTCAGCCCATTGACAATGTCCTTTGTCTTTCCAAAGTAGATCTCATTCAGCGTACTTCTGATTTTATTTTCCATGTCCTGGAAGGGAGGTCAGCACATGACGGGCAGTTAGGACTCCTGGGCACACTCGCCCCGCCCCTCTCCTCCCCTGCCGCCCTGCAGTCCCCGCTGTGGCCACTGGGGGGAGGCACACAGCTGCTCCAGGGTGCCACCTGCAACTTGTGCTCCATCCCCAGGCAGGCAGGAAGCCAGCACGCAGGTATTGGCAGCCAACTCTGACCGTTGCTGGGAGCCAGTCTAAACCACATCACCGCTCCCCAGCCTCCCCACCAATTCCGTGAAACCCGAGAGCACCTCCCCTTCTTCCAGAACGGCTTGGTGACAGGGAAGACTGAAGTCGCTCCAGAGCCCCACCAGTGTTCCAGGGATCTGCTTCCTTTCCCAGCTCAGGTCTCTGTTCACACCCAGGCGATGGGGGAGAACAGGCCTTAGCGCTTCCCCGAGCCAGGGACTGAGGGGAGGTGCCTTTGGAGCCCCAGCCCTGCTTGCACCCAGACCAGAAGGCTCAAGAAATACGGAGCCAGGGCACAAAACGCAAACTGCTCTGCTGCCTGCAATGGGGCTGGAAGGAAGCGACAGAGGACAAGGCCAGCAAGCTGGCACACGGGCTCCAGGGGCCAGTGGCATGTGCTGGGGGTTGACGCAGGTACAAACCAGGGCCCGGAGAGCCCAGGCGGCCACTCACCTCTACCAGGCGCCCGATATTGGCTATGTGTGGGGAGCAGTCGCTCACAGTCTCATCTTTCTCCATCTGCAAAAGACAAAAACATTCCTCCAAGTCAGAGGAGGCCTGGGCTCCCTGAGAACGGCAGCTCTGGCAGCAGCCAGCCCACCTCCAGGGTTTGCAAAGAGCCTATTGTCCCTGCTGGCCGCTCTGTGGAGCCAGCTGCAGGTGTTGCAAGGCCACTTTTCCAGCGGGGGAGCTGGAGAACAAAATGACTTAGTTTCAGGTTGTAAACGGCCCTGTCAGCAGACACCCAGAGCCCCACTGCCAGGGAAGAGTTTTGCTGCTGCCCTCCCCAAAGCACGGAGGGTGAGGGTGACCATGCTCGCCCAGCCCTGGCGCATCCAGGGCCAAGTGGAGAAGATGCGCACAGTGTCTTCATGCCACTATCGGCAGGCTCTGGCTGGCTGCCCCAAGACTACAGGTGAGTCCCCCAACAGCCACCCTGCTGCGCCCGGACACTTCTAATGGCAGCTCTGTGATGCCATCCGCTGTAGCCCTCGGAGGGAGGGGCTGATACCCTTTGACAGAGGCTCTGAGGCCAGAGGGCTGGAGTGACTTGCCCAAGGTCATTCGGGTACCAATGGCAGACCTGGGTCAAACCCATTCTCACGCCAGAGCCTGCTTTCTACTCCAAGTGGGGAGTTGGAGCAAGAGCACCTCAATACAGATGAGAGGCGGGGCTGGGGACGCAGCAACTAGTCTCTTCCTCCTAAGCCCAGGAAGAGTCAGTTCTGGCCCAATCATCTCCACCCTGAGTGCTGGAAGGAAGGGAGGAGGGGAGGGACGAAGGCACTGGCGGCTGCTCACTCCAACACTTGTTCATGAACTGTGGATTTCCCCTCAATTTCTTCCTATGCCTTAGTTAAATTTTTTAGAGAGATTTATCTCTTTCATAATTTAACTCACAGGGTACCTGGCAGAGTGCTAATAAGCACATACATGCTCAATATTACTGCACTGGAAATATGAACATGGAGATACTATTGTGGTACCAATATTATTGCCGAAATAAAATGTGGAAGCTGAAATAAGTAATCAGGAGGATGAAAACAACAGTATCAGGAATCAAAATGAGTTCAAGCTAGTTTAAAAAAAAAAAAAAAAGCAAAGAAAAAGTGGGTTACTGTCTTTGGAACCAGAAGAGGGCAGAGGGGCAGAAGCTCAGGGTGGGGCTGGCCTGCTCCCAGGGCAAAGCCCCTGCTGCCTTGCACATCTCTACTCGTCCTCACCAGGAAGCAAGACTGTCATGCTGGGAAAGGCGGAAAAGATCCAGTTAAGAGGGGCTGAAGGTACAAACAGACAAGCAGACGGTAGGACAGGGCCACTTTCAATGACCAGGCTTCCAGGTCATTCCATGCAGTTCTCCAGAAGTGGCAGCGCACTGCAGGGGTGCAAGGAATCTGGAGGGCTGCAGCAGTACTCCCGACTTTTGTCCAAGAAGGAAGAGTAGAGTCTAGCAGTTAAACACTAGTTTGAAAAGGGCATGCAGCATTTTGTTTTAAAAGGCCGCTCTCACTCTGTTGCCCAGGCTGGAGTGCAGTGGCATAATCACAGCTCGCTGCAACCTCAAACTCCTGGATGCAAGCAAACTTCCTGCCTTAGCCTTCTGTGTAGCTGGGACTATAGGTGCATGCCACCATGCCTAGCTATTTTTTTTTTTTTTTTTTGCAGAGACAGGTTCCCGCTATATTGCTCAGGCTGGTCTCAAACTCCTGGCCTCAAGTGATCCTCCTGCCTCTGCCTCCCACAGGATTAGGATTACAGGAATGAGACGCTGTGCCCGGCCCAGACAACAGGTTTTGATGGGATTGTTAAAATCAACTGTTGGCATATTCTACCATCAGAGATCGAGGGGAGCCAGCCACAGGAATGCCTCCATTCCTGTTGTGATGGTGATGCGGGGCTGGAAGAACAAGGCACGACTTCAGCAAGATCACCTCCTTCAGGCAGGTTCCCATCCAACGCCCTGTGGCTGAGATGAGTGGCTGCACACCAGGTTCCCAGGGGGCCCCTTTGCAGCACCTCGTAAAAGCCTCCACCTGCCCTGGGTCAACCTGTTTGTGCAGGACTACACGAAGGCACAACTGGGAGGGTCGCCAGCATCCTACTGGCAGCACCAGGGGTCAAGAAGGTCAGAGGGTTACTGCGGAACCTGGAAACCTGGGTTAGCTACAGAATGACAGCAGCCACCAAGAAAGGAGCGGGTTCACCAGGTGGCAGCCACCTCACTCCATTTCGTTTTCCTAAGAATCCTACTTTAAACCCAAGCAAACGAAAGCTTAATGATGCAAGTAACCTATCCGCCCGGATCACACGGCACAGTTAGATTCCGACGGCTTCGCTGGTACAGGATGATGTCAGAAAGCTACTTCAGTGTGCCGACTTACCTAGGAGAACGCAAACCAGATACTTAGGCTCAAACATTAATCTCACTGAGTATAACACGGAGAACAGTCCTTGTGAGGAAACTTGTGGTTTTCAGATGTTTTAAAGCCTGACAAGAACATGGCTGCGACAGCCTGGGTACAACTTTCAGGTGCATAAATGAAACTATCACTGGTGCCAGACCGGGGATGGTGTTCCTTACCCATCATGCAACCAAGAAACGGCTGCAAGGTCCCACTACTTGCCTAGGAAGGCAATGGTCCTCCTCTGGTCTGTCCCGGGGAAGCAAATTCTGTAGGGCTGGACTCAGTTTAGGGCACTGATGTTTTCTTTCCTTCCTTCCTTTCTTTTTTAAGAAACAGGGCTTCCCTGTGTTACCTAGGCTAGACTGGAACTCCTGTGATCCTCCTGCCTTGGCCTCCCACACTGCTGGGACTACGGGTATGTGCCATCCTGCCTGACTAGAGCAACGGTTTTGTTTTTTTTTTTGAGACAGAGTCTCGCTTTGTTGCCCAGGCTAGAGTGCCATGATGTCAGCCTTGCTCACAGCAACCTCAAACTCCTGGGCTCAAGCGATCCTCCTGCCTCAGCCTCCTGAGTAGCTGGGACTACAGGCATGCGCCACCATGCCCGGCTAATATTTTCTATATATATTAGGTGGCCAATTAATTTCTTTGTATTTGTAGTAGAGACGGGGTCTTGCTCTTGCTCAGGCTGGTTTCGAACTCCTGACCTCGAGCAATCAGCCCGCCTCGGCCTCCCAGAGTGCTAGGATTACAGGCGTGAGCCACCGCGCCCGGCCAGAGCAATGGGTTTTAAGAGAGCCATGGATGAATTAGCGTTCATCCACTTCAAAGGTCTGAACACCCTGACCCCAGGGAACAGGAAGGAACTGGAGGTGTTCAGGCGCAGGTGTGTGGGGGCGCCCCAGAGACCCGGCAGGGCTCTGAAGGCCTGCATCCCACAAAGGGAGCAGACTCAATCTATGTCGCTGCCAAAGGCAGAGGTGGCACCCAGGAGTGAGAGAATATCGCAGGGGACAGAGTTGTCCCTAACAGCATCTGCTTGTCTAGCAATGAGCTCCAGGGCACTGGGTGTCTGGAGAGAAAGGGGGTGGCCATTTGGCAAAGATGTTACAGGAGGGGACCCAGTTGAGAGCAGAAGTCCGGAACCTATGGCTCCGAGATGCCCTTCCCAAGTCAACGAGACTGAATCTCTGCAGAACAAAGACGCCTGGTTCTGGCAAGCCTGCTTTGCTGAGGACTAGTTTCGGAAAAGGGGCAGAGAACAACCAGCTTCTCTGTCCCCAGCACAGGCTCTCAACTGTCCTGGCACACTCTGGGCAGCGATCCTGGGGAGTCTGGATCCACAGAGACTCCAAAGCATCCCCATAAAACAGGAGGAGTGAGAGTGCTCATGAACTTGAAAGTGATGGCTGTTTCCCTCCATTTCAGGTCTAATAAATACTCCACCCTTAGCAGAACCGGAGTGTTTGTTGGAACATCATCTTCCCTTAGCAAAACTCTGTTGCCGGGATGACTGGCTGGTGTGTGTGTTGAGCAGGAGTTGGGGAGCACACTCGAGGGGAGGGTGTTCCACACACCCGTTTTTAATAGGAACGCTGGGATGTCAACACGCTGGGACAGTGTGTTCTCTCCCCACGTGGAAACCGTGCCCAGCTCAGGGCTGCGCAGAGAGCTGCTCCGCTGGGCAGGGCGGCGCCGGAGGTTCTGATCCGAATAACGTCCTTCCAGCAAACCGCGCTCTCTCCCAGCCCAGCTCCACGTGGAGGGCAGGTTCCCGGCCACCCCAGGGAAGAGATGAGGGCTTTGAGTACACTGAGGGGCCTCATTTTAAATGAGCACCAAGAACCCAAAGTGAGGCTAGGACTGTTGGCAAAGGCTCTGGGCCACCAGTGTAAGTCACATCAGCAGCTGAACCTCTTGGTTCCCATCTCTGGGTTTCAGAATCGAGAGCGAGCCACTTTCCAACAAACAGAAAGGCTGAAGCCACAGGACACACAAAAGCAGAAGAGGTGGGGCGGGGGAGAAGGCTGCGTGTTCCCGGCTGGGCAGCCCCTTCCCCGGGAGCAGACTCACTCGCAAGAGGGGCCCCTCGCTCGTGGCAGGGAATTCGAGCACATGTCAGTGGCCCTGTAGGGGCTGGGGAGGGGCAGAGAGCCCAGCACACAGGCGTGTTTCCACAGCCCCCGCCCCTCCCCACGCTGACTCCTCTCCACCGCGGTCAGGGTCAGCTCGCTGGCATTCCGACCCACCAAAAATAGAACCATTTTTGCAATGCATATATTATTACATCCTTATAAAAGAGGCTGCCAGAAGGAAAACATTCTTCTATGCTGCGGCAGCACAGATGTTCCACAAGGTGGTTCCAACCAAGTCTGGAGCCCAGCCGAGAGTGCCCCGCAGGCCCCTCTCGTCTCGGTGGCCTGGGGACGACACGGGCGAGTGTCTGGAAACCAGCAGGCCAACTCCTCCCACTGCCACTCGGGGTCTTCCGGCGGGCACAGCAGCAGAGTGGGGCCTGCAGGCGGCAGCCCCGCTCAGTAGCTCTATGGCTGCCTCGTCCTCAGGCTCCAGGAGCCCGGGAGGAAAGGGCTGGGCTCTATGCGCCTCCACTTC